GGAGGGGGGGGGGGCGGAACTAAGAAGGTACTACTGAAAATCTGTCAGCTGTATAAAATAAACAGTGGTGGAAGAAACCAAAAGATATTTTTTTTCCCTCGTTATTTTCTAGCTGTCATAATCTTCTGACTTACTTACAAATGAAGGAAATTAATTTTTTTCAAAGAGAATGTGATTTCTGATTTAACTGTGTCCCTCCTAAATGACAATGCCAATTCATTCTTTTTCAGTTCCACAGTTTCTCAACTGAAAGGAACCCAAAGCAAATAAAATTTACTCAGAATGAATTTTAACCATCTTAGGTATGAAATGCTGTAGTGTCCCTGACTGTACACAAAAAATCAGACTATGCTTTAGAGTAGGAAGTAAAGATTAAGGTATTCAACTGGAAGGGCAATCTGGGAAGAGAAAAATAATTATATCTGTTGCAACTCACAAAAGCAGGTGATAGTTGATTTTATTAAATTGTTCATTGTACTTATTCGTTAAGCTTACAAAGTCTTCCTGAAATCAACTCAATTAACGCTCGTGACTTGAATGGGTAAAAGTAAACCAAAAGGGAAATAACATTTGTGTTACAATAGAAACACAGGGTATTATTGTTATATGTACTTGCAGCTTCTAAAAAAGAAAATTTTGATTTATGAAACTTAAGTCTCAGGCTACTTATAGAACGGATATGAGCACTAGTTCCTGCAGCAACCTTCTCTACATGGCATTATTATGTCTCAGCATTGCGCTAGAGAAGCTACTCACAAAAAAAATAAACTTTTGCCTCCTAGTTACTCCACCATAAAAACCTCTAAATTGTTCATTTCGTCAATCGATACTATGCCATGTTTGTTTGTCTACATAGAAATTAAACTAAAAATTCCAAAACTCCTATCTTTGTGTTAAAAAAAGGAAAAAAAGAGAAAAGAAATGTCAGGTGCTAATTAATTACAATTACTACAAATCACAACAAATTTAGTATGAACTCAACTATCCACGATTAAGTCACAAGACATCTCCCAAAGCTCATTTTATATGCACAACTACATACACTACTGAATTATCACATTTGTTGAGTCATCAGTTTCAAATTTTTACCTTCATCTCTGTTTTCTTGCTTTCTTCTTTTCTTTTGTGTATGTTCAGCCTACAGAAAAAGTAGAGTTGTTATATCAGCATCTCTATAGAAGTATGCAATGAAACAATGAGAAACCCTAAACTAGAAATGTGGCAAGATACATAGTCAATACATGGTCGTGTAACTAGAATCTTGTCTGAAATCTGTTAAACAATATTGCATTTTGCATTTCAATTTGTAGTACAGATAAATAAATGGACATATTTGCTTCCTCAATAAGAGTTATAAAAGCAAAGTTTGGGGTTTTCCAGTTCAAAGATAATTCTTACCATATTTTGTTCTTAGCATAAACAGTTAACAGAGTTAATACAGAAGTCACCACAGGGAAAATACTAATGCAAACTATACCACCTCAATTTGTATTAACAATCTTAACTTCATTAGAAGTTTAGTTTCGAAAATAGCTGCGTATACTCTTTACTGAATCATTTTCTTTAGATTCTATTAATTCCTTTGATTCAGCAAAATTCTTTAGACATTGAGAAGTATGTACTATTTTTTAACCTTTGAGAGTGAATCTTATACTGCTTACCTTGCTGTGCTGGGTCTTAGTATAGTGATAAAAGAACATATTGAACTCCTTCAAGCATTCATCTTTCAGTTCATAAACTCCATGGCCAGACACACCCGGTTTCCTTACAGAGAAATATTTCATGACATACAGATTAATAACGTATGTTCAGCACATCTTTGAATGTAAACAAACCAGTAACACAATTTATGTTCTAAGGAAATGCTAATAAGAAGTGGAATAGTGATGGTTGCTCCATTAACTTACAAAGAACATAGAGTACAGTTATCAGTCTTTAATTTTCAAGACTGTTTACTACTGTAAATCATACCCAGCAGCAAAATATTTCTAGTCTGTACCATCTACAGCACACCATATAGCCTCTGACAGGTAAATTCTTTTTAACTTTATGGCTTAGAATTTCAGACATTGGATGTTATTGTATAAAATTCATTACTTTCTTTAAACAAGGTACAAAACAAGTAATTCAAACAGCTACTCTCCAGCCAGTGAGATTTTCTGAACCTTCCATATAATTCCCAAAGCAAAATTCCTAGGTACACCTATAGTTGCCCTTGACTAAACATAAACAAGCGAGCCACATGAAATTTAAAATAAAATATACTAAAATAATTAAAACTACAAGACATTTTTGTGACAAAAATAGCAGACATTTGAACTAGTTTTTCTCAACTGCTACAACTGACTGTTCTATATTTGCATGTATATATATAATGTCAAAAAAAAAATTAACTCCCATCTGAAAGTTACAGCGAGTTAGCAACTAAATAACATCTAAACCAATGATTAGGTGGTGATTGTCAAAGGTACAATGAGTTGTTAAGGTTCCCAACCATCTTTGAAATAAAATGATCTTTTGAAGACTTTCCACTAGGACTTGAGATTACTAAACTCCTGAGACACCTCAAACTGAATTTGAAGAAAGAGGGGGGCAAAAGGAGAGAAGCAGCAGCTTCGGATATTCCAGACACTTTTCTTTCCTATGCATATTTGAAAGCATATATATTTCACGACAGCAAAATATTAGTTGAACAGAGACTGTGCAGTGCAGCTTGTTTAACCCATATAATCTAAAAGATCTTATTTCACGTTCAAGCTACTTATAAAACAATATTAAGAACTTACTTAAATGTAGCCACTTTATCAATTACACTCTCCAAGCCAGTTTCATTGTTCTCCTGGTAAAAAAATTAGTTTGGGATAAATATATCTTCGGTATTATGCTAGGTGTAACAAAAATAGACATACAGATTTAGATCAATTCCCTAACTCATGAATTAATGTATTTTGCCCACTGTTATTCAGAAAGCAGATATTCATAATTGACAAGTTACAAGGAAGTACCAAAGACAGATAATACTGTCATTTAATCATGTAAAATTTTATTTATAACAGAGCTGATCTCCAGAAACAGAGCAGTGCCTTGCCCAACCTCAATGGAGGGAAAAAACAGAGTTTTACTCTCTTAAAACAGTGAATGTGGATCACCCATTATTGGTTTCTGATAATATTCCAGGCTATTTAATTTACAATAAAACTGAAGTTTTTTGCACTAATTACCAGCCCTGAAAACTTGCACATAAAATCTAATCCACATGCCTCTCCTTTACTTGAATTTTCAACAGTTGGAATAGAATGGCAGGGAAATCTGTGCTTTCAAGTAGAACTGTACAACATTTGACTTCCAATGGATCTGCACAGTGATCAAAAGTGATTAAGTGATCAAAATTACAGGATCAAATTTATTGATGGTACACAGGGCAGAAAGGAATCCAGCTGCATGGTCCTACAGGGCTGAAAAAGAAAATAACTTCAAAACTTTTCTTTTTGAATCTAGGAGAACTACAGATGAATATTCTAGACTAGGATAGAATCTTACTTTTACCTTTACTCTTGCAACAAAAAAGCCTGCAAGTATTATAAAATGTTTGTTATGTCCAGTTATATGGCACTCAAAAGTTTAGTATGAGATTAAATTCCACCTCTTCGTCAAGAAGCACAATCCCCATACAAGCCTTTTCAGATTAGAGCATACTTGAATCCATGACATTTACCTTTACATCAGTAAGGTGTGTAATGATTTGTCATGCTATTTTGTAATTCTGAAACCAACATTTGAGTTTTATATCAGAAATAAAATGCTTCCATATAAAGATATGGAAGCTAAAGAAGGAAGAGACATAAACCAAGAGAAAGTAAATTAAGGAAAAGTGTACATAAACTAGGACTCACATTTTCAGGCAAGGACTTGGTAATTGCACTGTGAGCCATTGGTTCAATACATAGCAGATGGATGATTTCTCTCATGATAACATCTTCTTTTGTCACATTACTCACTCCAGGCACGTATCTTTCCCCTACCAGAGTGAATCAAAAGGAGAAGAATGGCAAATATGACAGTTATAAAGCAATTCTGAATTGTAATGCTATTGTAGAGGTAATGCTATAGCTGGGATATTTCATAGTATAAATTTGCATTCGCCAGAAACCTATCCCAAGTGTCTGAGAGGAAAAACGTTTTTTAGCCTAGCTTCCTAATAAAATGGGCTGAGATGGAGTTTCTTTTCATATTCTACTTTAATAGCTAATTATGAAGTTATCTAACAGCTTTTTTCACTATGCAAACCCTGTTGCTTCCGGTTGACAAATACTTGTGTTACTGAACCATCTATTTAAAATAGGCATTCTCCAGTATCCTCTCCATACCATCTATGTTAAAGAAAGTCATCAAGCCTGTTTTGTCAAATTGTAATAATCCATTACTACAATAATAGAGAGAAATGAAACTTACCGACAACATAGATGAGAATCTGTAGCATCTCTTCTATTAACACGTTATATTGTTTGATCAAATCCTACAAGAATTAGAGAAACCAATTTAAAAAAAAAAACAAGCAGGAAAAATCCATCAAATGACACTGAGCTCAGCCTTCAGATGCACTACTTCACTGAAGCACTGTACTGCAAGAAGAAACCTCCATTCTAACAAGCTGGAAAAAATGCCTGCACTTGTAGAGGAGATATTATTCTGCAATTGAAGTGCAAGATTCACATGCAGGAAAAGAAACAACAGCTAAAAATGTATCCCAAATGAAGGGTTATATGAAAGTTCAAGCCTCAAGAAGTAGCACAACAATCCAAGAAACTTCCTGCCAAAATAAGAACACATAATACGGCTTAAGAGACATAGAAATTTTATAGAGGTCATTTATATGGATTTTGGTAGATACCCTATCAAATAAAGGTCAAAGAGGGCAAAACCTGTTTGCTAATTTTGAGTAAGCTGCTACAAATTCCGAACACAAAATCATTTATCTAACCACTAGGTCTTGTGTTGATTGACTTTTAGTGTGGTCATAAAAATGCAGTTATCAACTGTAGCTAGTTGTTCTTATTAATGTTCCATAAACTCAAAGCAAACAAATTAATCAGCAGAAATACTTGCCACTTACCTGATCTTTGGTGGGCTTCATCTTTTTGAAAGCATCAGCAAGCTCATATCTCTGCAGTATCAGCAGGAGGAACTGGTTTGGATCCATAAGAGATGCACCTATCTATCAAAAAAAAAAAACTAATATGAATATCAGTTACTATTACAGTTCTTCATTAGTTACGAAAAATACTCATTAGCCAAGAAAAAATTTTAAAATAATATAAATTTGATTAACATTAAAAGAAATTCCATGAAAATTTTATAAATCAAGCAAGCAACGATTCAGAACATTATACCTGGAGCATGATGATGTCTTTGTCATACATCTCTTCTCTGCATTTAACATCTTGATAATAGAATACCTGAGAAATAGGAAAACAAAATTTAAATAGAGAAGTAATGTAAAGTATGCACTATCAAATAGAAGTCATGTAAAGTAAATGCACTATCAAATGTGCAGTTGATATCTGAGGCTTTTTTAAACTGTACAGCACCTTTATTGAGTAAGGGAAAGTCCCATATTTCTTTCAAAACAAATGTGTACTTCGATGGAAGTCAGAAATGTTTTTTCACCTATCCAGAGAAAGTCTATGCCTTACTTCTTCACACCCCCTTCCAAGAAAACATAATTCTAATGGCTTCTACTAATTAAAGTCAAAACATGCTCCTTCTCCTACCCCAGTTCTCAGAGAGACAGTTCTACAGGGGGCTACCAATATTTACTTTGATTTCACCAAAGGGTCCCGTGAAAGGTAAACACAGAGAATTTCTGCCATCAGAGGAAAAAAAAAAAAAAAGAGCAGGCAAAATACAAGTACTTAAGGGTAGACTCTTACTTTTACCTTTACTCTTGCAACAAAAAACCTGCAAGTATTACGAAATGTTTGTTTCGCAAGTATTACGAAAAATTTAGTATGAGATTAAAATAGTTTAACTTTTGCATATAATGATTACCATATGCTAAGAGATTCTTCTAACATTTTATGTTATAAGCAACAGTACTAACAGTACTTATGCAGTGATTTCTTTATCAGATCTGAAAGTAGTTTACAGTAGACGTCAGTTACATTAACACCATTTCACAGAGTCAGAAACAGTCATAAGAGAGATGACAATACTTGTCTAATACGGGGAGGCAAGCCATTGATGAAGCTGGAAATAAAACCAAGACATGTAAATTCCCCCCTAGAAACTTTTCTATTTAGTGTAGGAGTGACCCCCATGACCTCTTTCTGCACTGGATGAAACCACCACTGGGAGCATTACTGAGAAACACTTGCATACACCATTAGGACCAACTCACTACTGAATATTGTAGGGAGTACCTGGCTTATCAGGGAGAGCCCATTCCTCCTCCACATCTCTGCAGCAACCTGAGCAACCAAGACAAGACATCGCAGAGGATATTCTACTAGCAGCTCCACTTGAAATTCTTCCTAGAATTTAAAAAAAGGGAAAAATAAAAAAAGGAAAAAAAAAAATCAAGCAAGAATAAGTCTGTCAGTGATTTTAAAAGTGTAAGTCCTAATGAACAAAGACACATTGACAGCTGCAAAATAACTTGTGTGTGTGCCATGAAAGTTACAGGATATAATTTTAGACTTTTCCCTTCCCAGAGTATAAATTACAAAAAGCATTTGGCAGGGGTGGGGAGAGGGGGGAAATCTTACAGGAGAAACAAACTCGTGCAATCTTGAGATGGTTCCGGTCTTGCTTAATCGTACATGAAGACCTACAAAAACCAATTGAAAAAAAATTAGAAAATAAATCAATATCAGTAAAGTTTCTCCTCCAACCCATTCTAAATGTTAGCTACATCATCTACAACTCAGAGAATTACAGAAAAAAGTCAAAGTTCATTTAGGAAAGACTTGTGACTTTCTCTCTCTCTTTTTTTTTTTTTTAGATCTATTACATTATCACAACAGTTCTTACCAGTCTTACAATCCATTATTCTATGAATAAATCTATTCATTTAATTAATTCATTAAAACCATTTAAATTGAGATGCTAAATAGTATTAGCAAAATTTTAATTTTGCATTTAAATCGTATGTCAGTAACAACTGAATTTCAAGACTACAAGGCTTAACAGATGGTATCTTGGTATCAAATGATGTGATAAAGAATCTACAGCTTAATAACAGCATATGATTTCATTTGTATTCTAGAGGAAGTGGCGATCACCCACTGCTGTGGTCCTTTGTATTCTGACTGGAAGTCTGTCCTGGCATGCTGCAAACATATGTCTTTTAGGAGGAGCATTTAAACAGTCCTAAGATATATGTGGCTGGAAAATAAATTTGAGATACAGTAATAATGAACATTCAGTTAGGCAAAACAGGTAGAAATAGAAACAGAACCACATAAATTCAAATAGTCCAGAGAAAACCGAAGATCTCATTAAAATATGAAAATTTTCCTTCTCGCCTGACTTTCTTTTCTCTCTCCTGTTTAAAAAATGTCCTCCAACCTCCATGGCAAATGTTTTTTTGAGAAAAACTTTCCCTTAGGACATCTAGGGAACAGGGTTTTCTGATCATGAGAACATCAGAAAGTCAGAGAGCGACTGATCTGTGAAGCACTTAATCTAAATGCTTTCTAGAGTAAAGAAAGAGATGGATGATAAACATAATTTAAATAGCAATCAAAACAAAACACACCACCTACCAGCAAGAGTCCTAGACAGCGGTAAATGTATGCTGACAGGATCTGCAGACACTCTGTAAGGTCTGCTTTCCAGAGTATGGCCACACAAGTGAAACACTGTCTTTTCCCGTGAGCGGCCATTTGTGCTGCACCTCATTACAGCTTTATGACATTCGCTGTAGGCCTTGAGCAACAGCTCTTCCTAAAATTTAAAATAAATGCATAGTGTTGTATTTTAAAATCATATATATGCACTAAAATTCCTCACTTGTTTTTTCTGACAGCATAAACAGTTACTAAAAATCCACAATATAATTACTACTCTGTTTCTTAATACTGAGAAGTACTGGACTGGAGCAGTGGAGTATCCACTAAAGTTAACTGAGAATATGCTTCTGTTCAAAAAAGCTGCTCTGTCAAATGCTCTAAAATCTATGTGCTTATTTAAGCTGCAATATTTTAATATTTTGCATAGTTTGCACCCCAAATTGGATCAAGAAGCTCCTGCTGTAGTTCTTCCTTTCTCTCCCTACTGAAAAAAAGAGAAATCCACTTCAAAATATCTTTAAGTTAACAAATTGCACAATCTCCTCCTTTCCCCCAGCATAGGGATAAGCTCCAGCACTGATTAAAAAACTATTTACAGTGCAATTACCCAATTAGCGCAAAGTTTCTGCAGTCCACTTTTGCAATTAAAAATGAACACCATGTGCTTCAAAACCTTAAAACTTGACAGTGATACCATGAGCTTAATTCTCAAAATCTTCAATTATGAGCAGTATTCTCTCTTTATGATTTGCCTGACACCCTGTGCAGCCTTGTCATCTAGAAGATTATATTCTTTTGAGATCCCTTCTCTCTTTGTCACACCACAGATTAATTCTTTCAGACTCATTTTTTGTGGAGATCTGTATTGAACAATAGTGAGCTTTTTTTAAAAAGCTGCCATTTAAAAAGCACTCAGGAATATTCACAGAAGGCACGCATGTAAGAATCCCAGACAATTGATATACTTACGTCACAGGCACACCACTCCTGGAACATCAAAAGAATGTTCTTGAGCTGCATCTGTATAGCAATAGCTGCTTCCCAGTCAGGGTCCACCTCAATGTGCTGACCAATCTGTCTTTTTATCTCCTCCATTCCCTGAAATGGAGATACCACAAAATACTCAAACTAAATCAGTGATCACAGGCTTAAAACAACACAAAATCCCATAAGCAAATGGTAAAATACAGGTTGTTCAGATACATGTAGCTAAAATTGATCAATATTATAAAGTAAGCATTACATTTTCACCCACTCAAGACAGGGATTGAAGACTGTACCATCTTAATTGCATCTTTATATCTACAATATTGCTATGGACAAAAAGATGACCAAACAAAAGTGCTCTAATATATTTATAACAGCATATTAGAAAGAAATTATTTAAATATGTTGTACCTGCATGCAAGTTAGAATCCTTAGGAAAGAAACAAATCCTTCTAAAAACCGCTCCCTCAGACGGTCTGTCCATAATGTAGGCTTGCTGACTAAGACATATCTGTCCCCAAAGAAAACATTATCATCTTTTGCTCAGACTTCTCTTCTGTTTATGCTTGCATTTAAAGTGTTCTTTGTATTAAAATAATCAACTGCATCATCACATTACATCACCCTCCCCATCTCAAACTCCTCTTAAAATTTTCACCAAACACTAGTGCGACTTCATCATTTGAAATTAACAGATTTTATTTTTTAAAACTCCAAGATATTTGGGGTAGTTTGCTTTTACATTATTCAGTTTACTAGAGTAATTTGGGACCTGTAAGAGCGGAAAATGCTATGCAGATGAGAATTATACAGCTCTCCCAGAATGATAATGAATAGAAGCCAAATTTCCCATACTGCCTTACAGTAGATATATTTCGTTTATTAATACAATTGTTACATGGAATGATATCAGTGAAAATCATCAAAAATTGTCTTTACAGAATATAATTTTGGTATTTGAAAATTTTAAGTTTCCACTTAAAAATAAAACATTAAAGTTTCACGTGTGTTTTTTGAGGGGTTTGCTTTAAAAACTGTTTTAAAAGCAGTTTTATCATCAGATTCGTGAATTGAAACACCTCATCCTACTGCCAATTTTTTTTTAAGAACTGCTCTAGCTTCTCAGCTTTACACTTACCTGAGGTCATATATTACTGCATATACCCGGTTCAGTTTGTCCTGACTGTAACCTTGGAAGTTGAACTTGTCATTTTTGTCTAGGTACTCTGGAAGCACTTCTAGCAGTGTCTCTGTAATGGTGGTGATTACGTTTTGCTCTTCAATAAGATGTCGGGCCTGCAAGAAGAAAATTTTTAAGTTTTCTTCCTTTTTTTGTTGAAGAGAACTGTCAAAATAATTTTTGCTTTGAATTCAGTCTTTTTGATTAGAAATTTTTAAGCATTTTTAAAGAGTCCAAGCTACAAAAACTCCCAGTGTTTATTATGTATGAACACAATTTCTGTAAACTTAGCATGTTTGTTCATTCTGACAGTTTCAATGTAACAGATGTACTATTTTTTCTAGAAAGATGATGTAGAAAAGGACTTTTACATCAGTATTTCAGGCAAGAAACCGGAAAAACCTACAGGTATACTTTTCTCTCCCCACATGATTTAACATATTTCACCCACACAAAAAGACAGTTAACCATTTTTTTGCTCCTCCCCCCAAGTTGTTAAAGTTACATAAGAAGGTAAATGTGAACAGTAAATGAACAGAGAAAGTTAATGCAGAGAACGATGCTGCCTAAAACGTTTACTTATTTGCATTCCCTCTACCTTCTGTAACGAATTTTCACATAAACGCAAGCTCCTGCTTTCATATTGGCCTTAACAAATCTCAAAATCATTCATTTTCAACTCAGCAATGCATAAAGACTGTCTGCCAAGTACAGCAGTCTGCAAAGGTGGTACTGCTAGCAATTCTCAAATTTATTTTACATTCCTAGCGGAGACAGGCTGTACATACCAGAGTAGGTACAGTGAACATCTGAACTGAGAGTGCTGTCACAGAGAGAACTCTGTCATGATCATCACTGATGTATTCTTTTTGCAATGCCTTGTAATACTAGGAAAAGAAAATATTGGAGAAATTAGATAAATAAAACAAGTGTTAATTAAAAAAATTTTTTTGTTGTTGCAAGAATCACATCTCAATGTCCTTCTTCCTTTCTAATAGAAGCAGTTCAAACAACAAAAACGGCACGATGTCCTCAATGCACCAAAACAATTAAATGTGCTCCACTGCCTTAATATTGAAGATAAGCACAAATTTAACTGTTCTGCCAGACTGGAACCAAAATATTTTTTCTCCTACAACCAATCTTCCCCAAGAAAAGAAATTAAATATCTGAAAAAAGGATCAATAAAGACATTAACTTATTATAAAACAAGTCTTCCTTGAACTGCATGGATAGTTATTCCACAGCTGTCTATAAAAGATGTGTACAATGAGTAATGTAAGTCTTTATTTGCTTTGTTTCAGTCTAGAGAAGACCATGAAGTGTCAGTCACCTTTACCAGGATTAAAAAGTCTCACCCTAAAACAAAAAACATTTGGTCTTCTGTTTTGTTTATTTCTTAACTATTGTATTTAATTTTTAAAAAGACAGTTTCAGTTGCAGTTTATCTGCTATTTCAAAAGATACATAGAATACTAACAATACTGCATTCAAAATGAGCACACATACCTACATGATTATAAGGAACAAACTAGTGACACTGGAATTAATCACTCTATAAAGGCTGAGCTAGTTGTTGAAGCTCTGCTTGTTGAAAACTCATTATTTATATTGAAACAATTTTCAGGTTTGGGGGAAATTTTAAAAAGGTAGTGAAAATCGATAGCATAAAAAACAAATAACCTTTTACCTTCACAAATTCCACAGCAAAAAGTTTTTTGTATTCCATTTCCATGAAAAAACTACTGAAGATAAGTTCATGAAGAACCTTCCTTGCCCCTGTGAAGAGCCAATACAATGCACGTCACTTTATTGTACTAAGATGCAGCTTTTTGTGGAAAAGAGGAACAAATTATAATTTTAAAAAATCATTAAAAGCCTTTAAATGGTTACGAAGTATATGAGCAAAGTTATTAATTTTTTTTTCTATTTTTAACATTTATTGGTATGTATTTAAAACACAGGGTAAGCATCAAGTCACTCATAGTCAGGCTACATCTCGTGAAAATAGTCTTCAAAATACATAAAGCAGGAAAAATTTAGGAAGCAAATACATACCCAAAATATCAATTATATCAGCCGTAAAAATAAAGGCTGTATAAAAACCATAACATAAAAACTATAAAGAAATGTAACTCCAGCTGCATAGCACTTATTTACTTTTACATATTTGTTACACACATGAAAAATTAATTCACCTCTTCAGTTTATAGCAACATGGATACACAAACCTTTATGAAGTTTTGCATCCCATAGCATCAACTTGCTTATGAAGCACGGCTTTTCAGATCCAGCTTCTTCTCTGAGACATATTTGACAGAAGATCTGGCGAAAGTCACCTATAGGGATAAAACTATTCATTTGTACGAGAATGCTTCGATAATTAAATGATATGAGCCAGCAAAATGAGAATTACAGAATTCTGTTCTTAAAAAAAAAAAAGGCACTTAAATATGAATTATTTTTCAACAATGTTTTTTCTCAGTGAACATACTCCCACATACTCTCCCCTTACTAATTTCTTCCTGTTATTCTTACCTACTTTAATAAATCCAGTGATGCAGAAGAGTATTTTAAAATGAAAAGCATTTAGACAGCTTTGCAAAGCAGATCCGTAAGAAGTGTTCACAGCACAGAAATGCACAGGCTAGGCAAGTGTATGCTGGTCTGCCTTGGGCCCTGAAAGTCAGTCTTTTGTAGAATTTCAGAACATTATTTTATATTTTCTTGCACCTATCAGTAAATACAGTACTTGCTGAAGCAGTTTTGGGGATCAACATATCAGAGTCACCCATGGGTTACTAACGTTCAGAAATGAGCTCTTACATTACTAATTTCAAAAGGAAAAGTGGAGTGTCATGAATCAAGTTCCTAACAATCTGGAAATCAATAGTATCGAAAGCTTCTTGATCCATGTTCTACCACCTGAAGCAAACCCAGGAAAAGAACAGGAACCACCAGACTACCAAAAAGTTCCAGCTGAGTACAGAACATTAGGCTCTTAAAGCTTCTACATATATAATCCAGAAGAACAAGGACAGGAATGTTAGATTTCAATCTTTGTGCTTGAAGACTCTGATAAAATATATTAAAGTGTCAGTTAACTTATAACAATTTCCTAACCCAAAATGCTACACCCAACCAGTCATCCAGTGGGAGACTCTTTTAGTTTTAGCTTATCTCATCAGCTAAAAAGGTAATGCTTAAAAACCTAAAATTTTGGGGATTTGCTGGGGCACTGACATTGACATGTCTACACTCACACAGAGTCAACAGCTGAATAATTAGCTGTCAGTTGGTGTTTTAAATAGAGTAATCTCATAAAATTAAAAATAAAAAGAAAAATTATCTAAGAAGAAAAATGTGGATAAAAATCAAACTTTCACCAGAAACCTTGAAATAAACCACACAGTCAAAAATTTATACCGATTAAAAGAACTGTCTGAGGAACTCAGAACAGCAAGAAAATACCATTGGTGAAATAAATAAAGTTGAAAAGAACAGAAAGCTAAAATTTGTAAAATATTGTAAAGAATACAAAAAGGTACAATTCTGACATGTATTTCAAGGGAAACATTGGAAAGTAAGTGTTAAAAAAAAACACAACAATAAGAAAGTCACTTTATCATCCAAGCTTACAAAAGAGGCTAAGGCAGACCAATAGATTACCCTATCAAGAAGGAGGATAAGCAGTGGGTAGAGCTTAATCTATGCATATTTGTACAGTGAAAAAAAAATTTATAATGGCTTTAGTTTGGCAAAACACAGGTATGACAAAACCCAGTAACAGAAATCAAAAATACATTGATTCAGAAGCCGTCTTTAAAACCATGAGCATCAAACACCAGAACAATGTTTGAAAGCTTCAAATAGACTTTCCACTATTGGACAAATTTTTAAATTAAGGCTTTTGTTTGTTTTACTGACACTGTCTAATTAATCACAGCTATCAAAACTGAAGCAGGAATTAATTCAAGCAGAGGATGCATGCTTTCATTGATGGAAATGTTCTGCAGCTTTCCATCAGCACTAGGGAGAGCAGCTTTTAAGCAAAGAAGTCACTGAAATAGGGCATGTGATCCTGAAACTGAGGATAATAAAACTTCTAGAAGAACAGAGCTCAAGCAGGGAAAGACATTTATTTTAGCAAGAAGGAACAGAAAAGTACTGCTATTCATAACCATACTGATGGATATCAGCACCCATACTACTGTATTATTTATTTACTGATTAGGAGGAACGTGAAAGTATTTTAATAAGGGAATATCATATATAACACTGCTAAAGACATTTTTGAGAGAATTGGTCATTCAAATACTGACATGGCATTATCGTAAAAAAATCAGTTATGCTTACTTGAATAGCTCATGAGTTTGTTCAGCCAAGAACCAAGGCGCAGGGCAAACTTCTGGTGAGCCATAACATCAGCATGCAGAACCTCCGCATGAAGTGGTCGTTGAGAAATATTTTCAGAATGCCTCTAGGAGTCAGGTAAATATTAGTAGATATAAAATAAAGATAACATGAATTTTCATATTTGTCTTCACCACCCATTACTTCTCCCAAACAAAAAAAGAAATCAGTTTGACGTTTTATTTCTGAAGATGTCTATCTATCTATACCAAATGTGGTGGGGTAAATTCAATTTCAAAAAGTTCACAGGCAGGTTATAAAAGCATGGAAGTACTAAGTTAAAGACTGTGCAGCAGACAAATAAGTCTTCAGTATTAATAATGATGAGGTTGATTTGTTTGTTTTTTAAATGAGAAAAATATTTTAGGGAGTTACCTTGATTTCTTCTTTTGCTTCCTGACAAGAGGCATAATGTCCTGCCTTAACAGCTCTACGACCCTGTTTAAAGAAAATATTGAGCATGAGACCAATATAAAATAAAACCAAAATATCAAAAGCCTGATCCTTGCTATGTTTTTTATACATAAAAGAAAAACAGGGACCAACATCACTCATGGTGCTTTTAGACATCTAGAAGCAAATCAAAATTAACATAATTATCTTTAGAAAAAAGCTATTTTAATTAAATTAACAACAGAACAACAAAGTCAAGTCTGGGTATCGTAATATTATTAGATAAGGAAAATTCACGTATGCATTAAAACAGATGAGAGGGATTTCTGCAGAATACTTTAAATACAAACCACATCAACTTTCTTCCCAGCACAAAGTACGCTCATCCTGAATTGCTCTTCTACAATCTTTCCTACTATTTCTTACTCTTGTATATGAAATAGCAGGGTATATATCATAAGCATGGGTTTGATAGCTCTTTCAATACAGCCAAGAACAGGTCCAGCTTAGACCTCAAATTCCACTCAAAGGAAATCAGAGGTATGGGCTTCCAAAACAAGTTCTCCACACAGCAGAATTTCACACAAGAAGAGAGGAAGTAGCTGTATGTTATGGAACTGTTATAACTAAAACAATACAACCTAGTCCTGTGCTGTAGCAGGTGCTTTGTAAAATGAGAAGTCTGATCAACTCTGGATCTAAAATTTAGGTTTCAACCAAAAGGAACCTTCATAATGGAAACCTTTAAAAGTTACTCTATAAGCATGAATGTACATACATATTTTACAAAACCTGCAACTGCAGGACAAGACTTGTAATTACGTAAAACTGACACTACTAACTAAATACAACTAAACTGTTGTTACCTGAACAAAGAGAACCACAAAAAGAAAACACAGTTTTCACAGATTTAGAAAGGATTCTAATATTAGTAAGATGTTTTATATGTAAATATAGAACAAATACATATACAGCTATAGACAAAGTTTCTCCGTGTGCAAACACGCAAGTTTATACTTTTGTGACATAAAAAAAAATATAGTTGCAATTAAGATAATTCAACACTGAGCATGCTTTTATTTTTCTGCAGCGGAAAAAAAAATTTACATTACTAGTGTAAGGTCTTTACATGGGACATCAGTTTGAAAAATGAAGTAGTAAAATTGTCAGGTTCATGCACACTCCTTCATGGATTCTTCCTGGTTTCATTTGCTTAATTTGAAGTTTTAAGATTTTCAAATGAAGTCTGAGCCAGAACAAGCACTAACTCTTGCAAAATGTAAGGTACATTTCTGATTAAATATAACTGAATATGCATATTGCTGACTTGTATATTTTTCAGACAAATACTATTAAAATAAAACATTAATCTCAGCTGAGAAGAAAAAAAAAAGTTAAGAAAATATGCCAAACATGAAAGGAGCAACTTCAGATAAATCAGCTTTTCCCTTTCTCGAGAAACTGGGTTTTTGTTCTGAAGAAAAAAATTAATACCATTTAAAAACTTTCTTCAAGCAAGTGCTGATTAACAGTTACATGCAACATGCCTTTCTCTCTCCTCAAGCTCCAGCATCCCAGAAACAAAGATTCTATGATCAAGAGACTATAGTAGCACTTCTTAATGATTAAAAAGTGACTTTCTCCCATATCCAGAACGCACTAACCTCTTTATCTATGGCAGTAGTATGCAACTGGGCTTCACCGAGTTCGCAGCCAAGTGCCCTTTGCAGGCTAAAGATGACATGATCGTAAGAGTGATGTTCATCATTGAAAAGGACACAGTAGTAGCTGTCTACCTTCTCTCTACTGGGAAAAAGCCAACATATCATCATACAAATAAAAATAAAATTGTAAATAGTGTCCTATCCAATACAAGCAACAGCTCACTTGATAGCTTGAGAAAAATGTCACATACAAAAAAATTATAGAAGAAAATGTCAAAGACACACCCCCCTCACCATCTATACCAGAAAAAGCCACAGAAACCATGTACCAAGTACAGAAGAGATTTTAAGTTATTTGATTATTCCATTATTTCTTCCTATCTCTGCTGTTTTATGATCCCATTTGTCTTTTTAACATGACACACAACAGTCTTTTTCCATTTTCATAGCATCATAGAATAATTTGGGTTGGAACAGTCCAACCCCCCTGCAGTGAGCAGGGACATCTTCAACTAGATCAGGTTGCTCAGAGCCCCGTCCAGCCCGACCTTGAATGTTTCCAGAGATGGGGCATCTACCACCTCTCTGGGCAACTTGTTCCTACAGGAGTGTTTCACCACCCTCATTGTAAAAACTTTCTTCCTTATATATAGTCTAAACCTACCCTCTTCTAGTTTAAAACCATTCCCCCTTGTCCTGTCACAACAGGCCCTGCTAAGAAGTTTGTCCCCATCTTTCTTATGAGCCCCCTTTAAGTACTGAAAGGCTGCAAGAAGGTCTCCCCGAAGCCTTCTCTTCTCCAGGCTGAATAACCCCAGCTCTCTCAGCCTTTCTTCATAGAAGAGGTGTTAAATCCCTCTGATCATTTTTGCGGCCCCCCTCTGGACCTGCTCGAACAGGTCCATGTCTTTCTTGTGCTGAGGGCTCCAGAGCTGGACGCAGTAGTCCAGGTGGGGTCTCACCAGAGTGGAGTAGAGGGGCAGAATCATCTCCCTCTACCTGCTGGCCATGCTTCTTTTGATGCAGCCCAGGATACTGTTGGCCTTCTGGGCTGCGAGCACATGTTGTTGACTCATATCCAGCTTTTCATCCACCAGTACCCCAGTATCCCCTGAGAGTAGTCCTTCTCGGCAGGGCTACTCTCAATC